CTCTTTTAACATTGATGTTTGCATAATCTTTTCATTTTTTTTCAATTAATTGTTCGATATTCTCTTCTTGCAACATTCCTGACTTCTGTACTCGGCGAGCATAGAGCGAAGAACGTGGAACAAAAGAGAACAAGAGAACGACTGTTTAGACGTACGTGTGCGCATGCTCGTGGACTGAACTGTCGTGTCGTTTATGGGTCGTATGCTTCAGCCGACAACGACAGAACAGTCTACCGACGGTTAAGTCTTCGGCCTTGTTCACATTACGCGGTTTGCGCCGCGTAATGTGAACAACTGTGACTGTAATCAAATATTGTAGCGCAGGTGGAATGTCAAACTTACAAACAATGCATAAAAGAACGAATCGAATATTTGTTTTGCACATACACAGGCGTATGGGAGCGTGTTACCAGCGGCATTCCACAAGTAGTTACTGTAACCATGGAAAATAAGGGAATCTGGGGATTTCTTACTCAGGAAATTTTGCACAGAAGGAGGCATTCAAATCATTGTGTAATTTTCACGTTGTTATTGTAAGATTTTAACCAGAATTGAAATGTGTCAACAGATTACGCTAAAGCTCATCAGTATCAAATCTAATGATCTTCCGTTTAGACGTTCTCGAGCTGGATCTGCGGACAGACAGACAGACGGACTTACACGTGACAAAGAAAATGGCTCAGGATTTACATTAATACATACGAAAACGAGTGAAAATGGAATTTAAAATGCGGGCTTCACTTTCTATAAACATCCACGGTTTCAGGGACATACTGACCATCTCCTTTAAAAATTTTGCAAGTGGTCGCAGTCTGACGCCCTTCAAAAGGTCCGCGATGTGTCCTTTCCTGTTGTCCGGGTCGTGGTTGATCCACCGGAGAATGCACTCCCACACAACTTTCTCGTCCTTCACGTTCAGTTCCTCGGTCCCGATTATCGCTTGCAGCTCCTCTAGAGTCAGTTCCAGCAGTTCTTCGCTCTTCTGAGACACTTCCACGAAGTTAAGCAGAACGAAGCGGCGAGCGCGAGTCTCAAGGTCGGCGCGGAAGTGTAACCTGCAACAGCGAGGGTAAGAATCGATCTCCTTCGAACTCCGACACATTGAAACACTGCAGAAATAACTGGATTCTCAAGCATTTGCACACCACAGTATTTCGCCTTCAGTTTTTTGAGTGAGACTGAGAGCAGACACGTGGAGAGGCAACGATGAGATACGCTCCGTTTAACCGGGGCAAAATAGAAAGTTTTCGGCTCTGAAGGTTCCCAGGCAATGCCCGCTTGTCCTCGTGATAAAGTTACAGGTTGAAATAAGGGCATGGCGTACGCAAGTGAAGAAGGCAGTGAGATGAGGAGTATAGAATTTAGAATTCTGGCATTAACCTTGGCGAAACGACATTGTTTTACCTGCTTGTGTTAATCCAGTGAAACCTCGTGTAACCGACCTTTACAGGGGGAACCACGGATCGGATGAGCGAGGGAAAAGGGAACGTGGTCATGGAATTTAACTAATAATTACAGACTCAATACAGATTTTCCTCGCCGGCAAATGATGCGGGCGTTTCGCACGCACAAGCCTACGGCAAAATTCACTCGTGAGCGCTGTTCGAGGGAGTCCCTGTATTAAAATAGTGAATTTATCAGTCATTCTGTCCATCGCATGAATTGGAGGTTCTGGTGTGATTCTGCCGATGTCACTTGATTTGCTTGCTATGTTGTCCTGAACAACAAAGGAGTAGGGGGTTCCGCTTCAACAGGCCCAGCGAGTTGTTTTTCGTCTTTGACCGATAAAAACCAATTCTCTAAATGTCCTGAAGTGTTCATAATACTCAGCAAAATCTGGATGTGAGGTTACATCAATGAACTGTACCTCGTGGTCATCACTTTAACGCATCTTGTCGGTGGAAACCAATCGCAAGCGATCTGGTTGAAATTCGGTCGCTTAATGTGGGAATCGGATAATCGACGCTCTGTTGACAGAGGTTTTGCTGTATGCAGAAAATGTGGGGCTGAATGTTGATTCTGATATTGGGAGGATTATGTGAGAAGTAAGGAATTCCGAATAGAAAGAAAGAAAGAACGAAGCAAAGGAATTCGAGAGGAAGACAGATTTAATTATGACCCTGAAATTAGTCACCTGCTCGTCATAATGACGATGGAAATATATGTAGTTAAACAGAACATTTAAATTACAGGCACATTAATAACAACCTGCCAAACATTATAATTTGCCGAGTCCTCAGTCAGAGGTTTTAATCTCCGACCCGGAACTCGACAGCTCTCTTGAGTAAATGTGATTCGCTCCAGCGACGAAGACTGGCGTCACAGCAAATGACAAATGAACAGCAATTACCTTGCAAAATGCATGATGCCGATACAGTTCTCGACGTCCATCGCGTCCTTAAGGAAGTCGCAGTATTGTTCAGCAAAGCCTGGTATACACAAGTACTCAGCCGCTACGAAAAGCTGACGCACTTTGTCGGAGCGGATGTCCACCTCGCGAAAATAAATATAATCCAGTATCTGGGTCATCGTGTCTGAGCTGACTCCATGGAGGAGAATCTCAGTCTCCTCACTGGAGTGCAGTGTTGTCGTGAAGAGTGTCCTGAAACGTCACGAAACATTCGTTAATTTAAACTGATTTCGAGAAATGGCGAGCAGGAAATTGCAAGACAAGCGCATAAAGTTTAAGTTTTTATGACTCACGTAGCCAAATAAAAGTATCCATTTGTGGTGGATGAATTTTTGTTATTTGAAGACTTCAAAAACTCCCAGAATGTGTACTAATGGGACCAGATTTACTGTGAGATTGTGAAGAATATTACTTACAAATCGGATAGCAAACAGCGAACATTTGTACTATAGAATGGTAACCTCGGTTATTACAGACCCTTGAATCCTCCAAGAGATATCAGAGGTTATAGCAACTTTTACAGAAATTTTAAAGCCAATCAGCAAATGAACACAAATATTTCAACATACATTGCGGGCTGTACATTCCACTGATTGATCAGTTCGTAATATGAAATCTATTTGCTCTGTGAAAACATTTTCCCGACAATAAACAGCTTAAAAGAAAAACATATTTTTCTACGCGGCTTTTACAAAGTGATCGCCAACCAGCAAACAATTTAATATTACAATTTAAGGGTTTTGCAGTGTAAGTCAAACAGAAAGATTTGATTGTCGGAAAACTGAAAGAGGGGTACAGCTCGCAAAAAGACGTGAGACACGTCTGTTGGAAAACAGAAACAATTATTCACGGTTATAATTCACTTCTCATTTCAAGAACGCACCAAATCTTTATTTAAAACTCAAGCAGATTTACGAATGCACAAGTTCTCGAACGATTCTCTCCTGCCAATGAAACATTTCTCGCGAAGACATTTGTTACAGTTAATTATATTTCAGACAGAGCA